ATCGATCTTCTTGAGAACAAATTTACCTTGTGAGAAATTTGAAGTAAATTTTCAATGATTAGATATGGATTCGAATCATCAATCGAAGATCTATAAAACTTTCCAAAATCTAGATATTTGAATTCAACCATCCAGAAGTTATAGGTATCTTACTTAAAATGTGAAGTTGATTTCTTCTGGAATTCCTGTTGTTGAAAAAAAAACCCACTTTTTTGCTTTTTTTTTCTTTTGATAATAGGAAGCCGTTTGTGACATTGGTTTTTTTTTAGAAATTTGATTAAAAACTTGAGAAAACATTTTTAGAAAAAAAAATTCTATAATATACGATTCGATGCGGTTTCATTTTATTATTATAAAGCTAAAAACTATAGTTCTCTACATAATTCAAAATATATCCATCAGCCTCTCTTTTTTTTTCTTTGAAAGGACATTTATATTTATCGTCACATATCATAATAAATAGTTCTTATAGAAATTTTATTAATATGACATTGGTTTGAAAAATGATGAAATATTAGAAAAATATAGAGCACTATTTTTATTAATTAATGTATATAGAAAGAAGGTTTCTTCGAACTTTCTCTACGGTAATGAAGGATCTCAGATACAACATTTACTTTGCCCTAAGTATAAAAGAAGATTACAATTATGCTGTTTCTCACATCTATTTATTCTAGAAGAAAAGCAATTGATGGAAAAAATATGCATACCAAAAAAGACGGAAAATTATAAATGTAGCTTCTATATATAAAATGTAATAGAAATATATATTTTTTTGCATGATATATATTTTAAATAAAGCGTCATTAAGTTTATTCATGATTTTCATCAGAAAATAAAAATGTTTAGAAAAACAAATAGCTTTTATATAAATGAGAAAATTATTCTTTGTAAACATTCATTTTCTAGGTACATATTCCAGGGACAAACTTGGTTCATAATCGTAATCTAAGACAGATGTGAATATAATTGTCAGTGATAAACTATATCCTGCTTAGTATAAGTACTATTATGTAGTTGTTTTTTCTCTAATCAGCATATATTCTTATTCTATCTTAAGCCAATATTATATGCCTTATTAAACGTGGAATTTTGTTATGTTTTGATTGATTCAATTCTGATTGATTTTTTATTATTTAGAGGTAATGAATATTTTGATCAATCACTCAATTTTAATAGCTTTATTTAATTTTTATTAAAAATATGAATATAAAAAACAAAAAAAAATACATTGTTTTCTTTCCTTCGTTAATATTCATCCGTTTTTTCGTGTTGGATCTTGACTTACGGCTAAAACAAATCCATTATTGTCAACATTCAACTGACACCTAAAATTAGATAAATATATTTTACTCATTGCATAGAATAGTAGATAGAATTTCTTTTCAATATCTTTTCTTGTTTTGTGTTCTGAAACATGAAGAGAAAAAAAATTCTAGGATATTATATTGGTAGAACATACACATTGAGAAAACAGTCTATTTATATATATATGCCCTTATGATACATGAAATTCTATTAATAAGAAGATAGACCAAAAAAAAAAAAGAAATTTAAAGCGGAAAATGCTACTATATCTAATGTCATTTTCTACGAACCATCAATTCTTTTGATCTTCATTTATAATTATACACAGAAGGTAATTTTATCTTTCACATCTCTTTCCTTTTTTTTTTAAGTTTTCTTTTTTTATTATTTATTCTAATATTATTCAGTTTAGCTTGATCAATATATTCGTTTCTTTTTTCAAATGAACATGATTTATTTGTCTTTGGTCATTTTTCTTTCTTTTTTTAGTTCTTTTTCATATTCTCAAGGGCATAGTTGATGATACAAAATGACAAGGACAACGATTATTAATTGTATGTTTCTAATCGTCGATTAGCTTTGGACATACACAAACGTATAGAAATACAAATGACGCGTGTATAGTGTTAGAATTCATCAATAACGGAAAAAAGCATTGATGTATGCATTCGATATATTGTGACGAATTTCCTTTTCCTGTTTGTTCAATAGTACATGCCTCAAAAATAAAACAGATAAAGTATTTTTATTAAGTAAAATAAGAATTCATTGATTGTTCGATTGTTAAGAATAATAATAGTTCTTATCTTATAGAAAAAAGAAAGGAAGAAAAAAAAGCAAGTATGATACATGATTCAATCTTTTCTTATGTAAAAACAACAAATCCCAAAAGGATACGTACCGTGTTTGTCTCTTTATCAATCATCTTATCTCCGTATGTAAAACCTTCGGTATTACGTTCCATTTAATGTTTTTTCTTATCTTTTCACATAAAATATACATTAGAGAATCTCTTCGGATGTCTCAATGCATTTTTGTCAACCATTTCGTATGAATTACTTGACAAAGCATATATCCTCTTTCATTATCTTCATGTCTCTTTTTTTTTTAATCATTAATTTACTATCAACTATCATATAGTTTACATTGTCATGCTAATAGTGATTTCTTTTTTTAAGAAAATAAATATTAGTGATTTTTTTTCTCTGTTTTTATGTTTGTTCGTTTCAATGTACTAATGATAGATGATATTTCAGTTGACTTTTTGTCGATTATTTTATTTCTAAGTAGATCCACTTAGTATTCTACTTCGTTTGTCATTCTCTTTCCTAATAGTTTTTGACATTGGTTCGTCATCTTCTTTTTCTTTTATCGAGAAAAGAAAAAACAAAATGATTGTAGATTCTCCAATGACAATCGATCCTATATATATATAAATTCCATGCTCGTGCAACATCATTACTCATTTAATGTGTAAATATGCAAGAGCGCTCATACACAAATGCTTTCCAATTTATTTTTGTCATTACTATTTCATGCTTAGTTATTCTAATGTGTTTGTTTTTAGTTCACTTTTTTAAATAGAGACTAGAACACCAGAAGGTATACACATCGACAGTAGTGACATATGAACATTTGAAAAAAAAAGTAAGAAAAATGAGAAACGAAGACTAAGAATAGATGGGGATTTCCGTTCTTCTTCTTCTTCTTCTTCTTATTCCTAGAAGAGAAAAAAAAGTGAAACCTCTAATAGAACGTTAAGCAGAAAAGGAGATAGAGAAAGAAAATAAATAATGTCTTCGTTCTACATTTCTTTCTTTTTCTTTTTTTCTCCTTGTTTCCTGTCAAATGATACCAACGTGTGACAGCACTCATAGTTATGTGGTAGACAAGAAACGATATAAAGCAACTACAGGAAGTTTGAACCGTTTCGGGTGAGCATTGTTCTCTCTATCTCGGTTTTTTTTCTCTTCATTTTTCAACAACAATCACATCACAGCTTATTGACAAGGGAAGCAAGAGTAGAGATCTCCGGAACAAACTTTTTCGTGTCCAGAATCCCGTTTGTCCTATCCAGTGATTTCTCAAAATGACCTAATTCCGAATGTCCCTTTGACCGAAAGAAATACAAAAATATCATTTTTGTCAAAGAAGAATACATTTTCTATACCACCAAGAGACAATCTGTATTCATATATATATATATATAGCTATTAGACGAACTAGCTATCTTTTAATTTATATAATTGACAGCACAATACCGACCAAGAAACACGTCTAGGTGTAGATGAAATTAATAATTTTCTACTCGTCAAATGAAATATTGGAGCGTTAATGAAAATTTACTTATCTATAGCTGAAGTGTAAGAAAAAAAGAGATTAATTTGGGGTAAAACCGTAGTTCAAGTACACTTTGGTACTCACACGCGCACTGATTGATGCGTAGAGTATACTAATTAAACGAGATGATATGCCTAAATTATAGTAGCAACGAAGCAGCTGATAAAAAGAAATGATAGAGAACAGATTCTAAGACATCTGACAGTAGCTTTTTTCTGCATTTTTTCTGTCTATATTATTTATTTAAATATTAAGATACTTGCTAGAAATAAGAAGTCTTAAACTTACGACGCGTTTTGATATGTAAATTCAGGAAATTCGGAACAGCAGTTTTTTCTGAATAGTCCCGACTCCTATTTGTCCCGCCCCGAATTTTTTTAAATAGTTCCGATTCTGAATGTCTCGTTCTAAAAAATTTTGGGGACAGTCTCAATTGCCCCGCGGGACGGGACAAACGGGATTTTCGGGGTTCGAGATTATTCTGCAGACCTCCAAACAAGAGAGTACCAATTATAGAAATAAAAGAAGAAGAAAAAGAGATCGATGAAGAAAATAGAAAAACGTATGTAAGATTATTTACTAAACAATGATAATACGAAATAAGCATGATAGTTGATGTAGTGCATCATCGCATGCTAGTTCTAAATCTTATTATAAATTTTCCAATTCAGCTTCTAGTTGTTGCATTTACTAATTTACCGCTCCACTTATATTATGGCGAACAAAAGCTCTAATTGAATAAATATACATTGTTATTATCACAGTATGCTTTATTCAATTGTAAGTTTGTCATCATGGAATATTTTAAGAAGTTGAGATACATAAATCGCACGGATATTTCATATTTTGTAAGTAATCATCAAATAATACTCGAGTATTTTTATACAAATAGATTTTATCAGTTTATATTTATTCTTTATTAACTAATCATAAATAAATATCCATTCGAAAAAAATCTTTTCTTTTAAATTCATAAGTTATCATATGACATAAACAAAATATTCGAAATTGAAATATATATTAGAATAATGTCACATATGATTTGATATGTCAGTTAAAAACAATAATATATTATTGTGTTTTTATTAGTTTAAAAATAAGATAGAAAAGAAAATAGATGAACATGAAGAGTAATCAATAGAGATCATTTTTTCTCGGTTTTTTTAACGGTGTTGACATTGTCATTCTATCTTCTTATAGTTTGTTTTCTAGGTTTTCTCTTATTCGTTATTACATTGCATCGCATCACATCGTATCGATCTCATAAATTGATTATGCAAATGTACTAACTAAACAACAAATATGCTGATGTTATTTCAATTATCAATATTATTGTTGTTGTACATCAATTGATGTCAACTGCTACAAATAATTCTCCTATACCTGAACAATCCTATCCATTATCTATAAGAAATTCATCACGACGAATAACTGAAAATTTTGATAATGATACAGATGTACGTGATGCTTTTCTACAATATCTTATTTTTAAACAACCTAATAATCAACAACAAGAACAACAAGGTTCTAGAAAATTGAATACAAATTTTACTACATCAATTGGTTCAGTTGTTAATCGAACACCAGCAAATTTATTTGAACTTAAACAACAACGTTTATTAGCAGCTGCTGATCGTAAAAAACGTATTATTGCACGAATTGTTAGTATTGTTGGACTTTTAATTATACTATTATGTGCAATTATTGTAACATTAACACTTAGAATGGCACCAAAAATAGATGAACTTGTACGTACAAAAGTTGGTACACATCAATTAATGTATATTATAACACGAATGAATACATCAGTAACAACAACATTAACAACAATTCGTCAAGATAATTATACTTTAAATGAATCTGTTACCGAAAAATTGATTTCTCGAACTCGATAAAATTAATTTATATAAAGTAATATCATAGTTTTAATTTTGAAATTTTTCCTATAATTAATTCTATATATATATTTTGTCCTTTATCATATGCAAAATGTATCTTCGTATAAATGATAATTTCAGACAAACAAACTATTTATATGTCTTAAAAATTATCATTTGATTTATACTATGTATATGTTTATTGTGTCATTTTTAGACACAAAAATAAATAAAATAAATAAATAAATGAACAAAACAGAATTAAAAAATATAGAAAATTCTCTTATTCTAATACAATACTATACTTTCTCAATTATCAAACAACAAAAACAAAAATTAATATGGTTGTCAAAATTGATTAGGTTAATCAGTATTTGACCTATTCAAATAAACCTTCAAGTTTCGTAAATTAAATGTCATTTCGAATCTTTCTGCATCAATAATTATCATATTCTTTTTTGTATAAACAAAAAAAACAAAACAAACGAAGCATAACTAATACTTACGTCCAATGAAGATTTAGATAAACAGAATCCATTTGTTCTAAATCAATAACTGATTCTTCTTTATCATTAGTAGTTATTTTAGCTGTTGAATGTCCTTTCTATTTAAATTGAAGTAAGAAAAATTGAAAAAAAAAAATTTATTTTCTAATTAAAACTAATTACTAACATATTGCCATAACCAAACATCACAATTAGAACAATCAATCAAATGTTGACCTTTTGGCATAACATATATTCTTGCTTGAAATTTATCTTGAAATAAACTTATTGGTTTACCATTTGAAAATTCTTCTTCATGTTTATCGATCCATTCATTTAATGAAAATGGATAATCTAATTTTATTTTTTCATTATTTTGTACAGGTGGATTTTCAAGATAACTATCTACAAAAATTTTTCTTTTGCTTAAACTATATCAAAAATATTTATTAATATTCTACCTGCTTTTGGTTGACCAGTAAGATATTCTTCAGATTGAAAAAATCTTTAAAAAAAAAAAAAATAAATATTGATGTATCATATTTTTTTATGTAGAACTATATCTACTCTTATTTCGGATGATATGAAGATTCATATTAAAGAAAATTCTTCGTATTTCATGGCAAAATCAATACTGATGAATAGAATACAAAGGAAAAAAAAATGAGCTGAATTTAAATTTCCGGATGCTTCCTGTTATATGACAGGCAAAACTCATCTATGTAAAATCAATTGATGATTAACTTTGTTCGAATAAAATAGATATGTAATTTAATCGAAATTTCCACGCATAACATGTTCAAATAAAAATAAGTACTCATGAATTAATTAGAAATTTTAGAATGAATGTACTTTGATCATATTTATAACAGTGTGCTAATGCTGATACAGGTGCGTGTGGGTGTGTGAATTACGTCAATGAGTTCACAAGGCGTGATTAAAGTGAACTTGTGCCGAAACTTTTTTTAAGCTGATTCAGACAGATCAATTATCAATAGTATTTTATTTAAAATGTTTCTCTAATAATAAATTATTCTTTCATATGATAATTGTCTATTATATACTATTTACCGAACAATATATTATTTATTTAGTACATAAAAAGATTTCTCATTTGAATATTATAACTCACTCTTTTATTACCGGACCTAATTGTATACCAAGATTTGTTGTATGAAACCATCTTTCGTACAAACGATTTGTTGAATGATCTTGATAATATCTGAAACAATAAAAAGTTGAAAATTTTCCTTTTTTTTTTCATTGTGTTTTTGGATTTCAATACCTTACACAATCCAATTCATCTTCATCTCGCTTTCTTTCCATAACAAATCCCATACTATTTTCAAAACGATTCGGTGAATGAGGTATATTTGCTGGTAAAAGAAAGATCTGAATAATTCAATTTTGTAAGTATTAGATATTTATCTCAAATAAAAACTTTTACTTCTCCTTCTTTAATCATAATATCACGATGTTGATTTTGTTCAAGAACTTTTAAACACATATCACCCTTTATCTGATAGAAAACCTATCAAAAAAAAGAAAGAAAGAAAGAAAAAACTCAAAAATGATTAATTGATTAATTTTTTTCCAATAAATAATACTTCTTCGCCTTCTTCTAAATGATAATCTTTACGAATATTTGGTCCACCAACAAACATTATTGTCAATTGATTATTATGTCTATAATAAATAAAAAAAAACGTTTAAATAAATCTATACTGTATAGATTTATTGACACTTACAATAATTTATTACAAACAGGAGGTTGAAATTGTTGTTCGTTTTCTTTAAGCCATTGGTCAACATTAATCTTATTAATAGGCGAACTAGGCATGTTTTTTTAAGAATATCTACAAATGAAATAAATCATTTCAAAGTATACATTTATCGAAAAGTAATTGTATTTGTCGATATCAAATCTATCTTTTCTTCTTTTTCAATTTACCTAGATGATAATGAAAGAATGAAATAACGAAGCGTATACGAAAAAAAAAACGTAAGCATGTGATACTTTTGTATTTCGAAGTTGCATCAAATCAGTGAGGCATGAGAATATGATTGTTACTTGATCATTTGACATATGCTTTTTTCTCCTTAATATGTGTCAATTTTATTTTGCATAATGAGTCTTTTAGATGATTGATTGAAGGGTATTTAGTTGATGATTCAAAAAGTGGGTGAATATTACGTGTCCCTCATAGTTCAAGAGGCTTTTATTTATATCTACATTTGTTATCTCTTCAAAGATAAGAAATATAAAGTTTATATTACGCATAATTTTAATTTTGACCATACAAAACAGTGAGAGCATAATATGATATTATCTTTCATCAAACTGAAGTATCTTCAACTAACTAGTTTTATTACAGGGGTCTCTGTCTGATGATGAAATTTAATCTATTGTTGTATTTTGATTTAAGGAAAACAAAGATTGCTTTTTATAATTGAACATTAATTTTGAATTTTATGATATTAGATAAGAATATTTTGATGAGAAACAAATCGTAGTATATTAAAATACTTTTAAAAATATTTTTTTCAAATTGATAAAATCCTGTCATATTCATATACAGATAATATTGACCTTTTCCGATCAGTAGACTTCGCTAAATAAATAGATAATAAAAATATTTTTTGAATGAAATCAAATAGAATGTCGTTTTTGTTTTTGAATAAAGAGCCAGAATAATGCTATGTGAAATATTGATTTTCAAAAGACGAGTTTATTATTTGTTTTTCGAGACTTTGAATATATTTTAATAAAACACTGACTCATATTCATATGTTTATCACATAAGATTTTCCACAAATTGATGCTTTTTTCTTTATTCGTTCTTATATCTACACAGACCTTTTGTTTTTTTGTAAGATATCGAATTGTACTGGATTTTTTAACAAAAAAGCTGTGATTCCCATCAGATCACGTGAAAAATCGACTGTCGGCTTCAAACTTTCCACTAACAAAATTCTTAATGAGATTAGTTGATTGAACAACTAGTATTTTCTTACTGGTGATGTAAATATATGAACAAATTTCGAATATTAAATATCTAAGGATAGGAAATACTAGAAAAGTTACAACTTGTCTAATGAACTAATCTCATTGAGAATTTCATTTATGCAAAGTTTGAAGTTAAAAATCGATTTTCCATACAACCTGAGGAAACTACAGCTTTTATTGAAAAATGTAACAAATTTCGATATTTCAAAAATGAAGGTTTGGAAAATCAAACGATTCTAGACTTTTTTATTACTCATTAAATGAATATCGTTTTGGTCGAAAAGCAATTTGACATCTGCAGAGGTTCTTCCATAAGTTAAAGCCTGCGTTACTTGTTGTTGATTTACTGTAAATATTTTTTTATTGTCAACAAAGTTATAATTACTAATTAAACACGAAAGTTTTTAATTAACTTTATTTTTGTTTCTTCTTGATCGAACTGTTACTTCTATTTATGTTATAGAAGCTTTTCTTTTTGCATACAGTTTTAATAAAATTTAATTCATGATGAATATAAATTAAAAGTAATATTCAACAAAAAAAAAACCATTATTTGAATTAAAACAAAACAATAGTTGTAGTTTTATACTTGACTTGCAGAATTTTCTATAGAATATTTAAACAATTTCATATAAAACTTATAACAAAAATTTAATTCCTTTTTTTTTTTTTGTTTGTCTATAACTCATATGTTTTTAATCAATAAGATTGTTTTTCTATCCATAAATGATTTCAATCTTATTCTATTATATCTCTTTCATTTTCTACAAATTTTCAATATCGAAGAAAAAAAACATGCATACATTCATTATAAATCTATTTATATTATTTTTAACTATTTTAAATTTTATCGAACTTCGACCTATATCAAAATTTGAACAAAATCTTATTCGACAACGACGACAAAATCAAACTGATATTCTTTCCTATCCATATGATTCAACAATTATTAATCAAGATATTATCAATGATATATGGAATTATATACAACCTATATTCAATGATCATATCAATTCTCATTTCAATCAATCATCAAAATCAGAATGTAAACGAATAACAAATAATAAATATATTATTAATCAAGGTGATTTCATTGAATATTGTCTTGAAAAAATTCTTAATCAAGATGGTAAATCATATTCAATGAAAACAACTGCTATATTGTATAAAATTGATGGTACACAAATACCACTTCATCTAGCTGAGAGTAATATTGAAATTGAAACATATAATCATCATAATTAATTAAATACTTTAGAAAATAATAAAATAAAATAAAATATTATTTGTCCGTCTTAAATTCATTCACCGTTTAGCTGCACTCACACACACACACACGTACACACACACATGTTTATATGATCTGATCGAGACGATGATTTATATATGTACATATAAATCATCAACCGGGATACACAATACATACACACATACACACACTCACGTACACACACACACACACATACAAAAGAGAAAAAGAAAAAACTAAAATCATGAAGTAACCAGATAGGAATAAGTCGGATTGTGTAGCAGATGTTGACAGAAAAGTATTTGCATCGTTTCGGCTTTAATTGAATAAAGACTTGATAAAAATAAAAGAAGTTTTGAATATATTGATGCAACACTTATTATTCGATTATTATTATCTATATTCATGACAGATGATTGTTGATGAATTAAAGATTGTTTAAGACTTTTTAATTGTTTAACATAGACTTGTTGTAAATTTGAATTATCATTAGGCACTAAATATTAAACATAAAATTTTAAAAAAAGTCTATGTTTATTTAGTATTTTCTTTTTTTTACTTTCTTGTAAACTTTTAATGACAATAATACGACGTATATGATCAAATATAATTGAATCTATATTAAATCGTGAACCTTTTTGTAATATTGAACATAATTTATATGCATCTTCTTCTGGTACACATCCATGTTTATGTACTGAACATGAATCTTGTTCAACTGTTAGTAATGATAATGAATGTGTACAACGAATAAATTCGAGATTAGTATAACTTCTTTCAATAAAATATGTTAATAAAAGTTGAGGCCAACATCGTCGATGATAGGTTGATGTTGATATTGAATCAATTAGATATATACTTGCTTGTAACCAATTTGTTATCTGTGTTTCTAACTCGAACAGAAATGATGATGGTAAATAAAGACGATGTGAACGATTAGTTGAAAAAGCAAAATGATTTGATGATAATGATGGCTGAAGTATTGATTGTTGTTGATCTTGTTCTTGTTGATTATTTTGATAATGATGAGATCGTTTAGACATATCACTATCCGAAAGTGCATGTCGTAATGATTGATTTTGATTTAGCAAACATTTAGGAAATATATTCAATTTTAATTCAACAAGACGATGTGACTGCCGTAATAATGAACAAAGACGATTTTGTGTTGTTATTTGTTTTTTCGAATAAAAATGATTTTCTATATCAGTGCCATCATCATCGTCATCATCACCATCAACATCATCATCATCATCATCATCATCGTTATCGTCGTCATCATCACGAACACATCTATCGAGTTCATCATTATCATTATTATCAGAAAGAAAACTTTCTATAAGTATTGATGGTGGATTATCAAATTTTTTATTATTATCTTCATCTTCATCACTTGACGTATTTTTATCATTATCATATCCACCAGAATCATTTGTTAAATTCATCGATCTATTTTCGGATTACCTTGAATTAATATATCTCAATATTGAGATTAATTTTCATATACAAAAAGCACAAAAAAAAGAAAACGAAAATAATATTTATGTATATGTATATATATATATATATATATATATATCACTTTAATATAATTTAAATAGATGATATTTAATCAACATAGATGGTATTGTTTAAATTGATGTGATGATGGCATTGAAATATATCTTTATATATATATATATATATAAATATATATTTATGTATATATCTGAAAATCATAAAAACAGTAGTTTGTGTTAATTTGTCGCGTTCTCTCTATCTATCGTTTTTTTTCCTTTTTTCACAATTACGCACTGTTAGCAGTAACATCAGAGCACAACGAAAGCCTGTCAAAAAAAAAGAGTAAAGAAGAGAAGGACAAAATAAAAACGCTTTTGCTTTCTTTCTCGCTCGGTCGATGCCCATGAATCAATGGGACTGAGAAAAGAGAAGAGAAGAGAAATGAGAAGAAAGCTATGTAAAAATAAGCTTTGATGACCTTGAATGCTAGAAACACAGATGAAGGAAAGAACTAAATGAAGGATACACACCTCTTCATACGTCACACTGGAAAGTCTATGACCTTGGCACGATATGATAACCTCTTGAAATATATACGTGTATCACAATTGTGACAATAGTCGATAAGCTCATATGTCTCAAGGTTTTATGTATTTCGTACATTATTAAGTTAGACGATCGGTTACATTACATTTATATACTTACATAGATATATAGGCTAAAAAGATCACACAAATTGATGTTATTTTTCTTTTATACAATTTCAAAATCACACATAAACATTATAAATGAATGCGAACTTATATGAATTTAGTTACCACAACAAATAAATAATCTAAATCAAAAAATCGAGTGCATTCCGTTAGCTAAGCAAAAACAAGTTATTCTCTCTTTCTGTCATTTTTGTTTTCCGCACACTCTTGTTTTCCGTCGTCTGTCTCTCTCTCTTTCTTTCTTTCTTTCTTTTTCTCTCTTCTCTCTTTCTCATCGTCGGTGAAGGTGAAGTCGTGTTTTTGTTTTACTCACACGCACGCATACGTTGGTGTCTTATATGATTGTCTTGCTTGTTGACAGAGAAAATTTCAAAAACATCCGTTATTCTTATTCTCTTCTTTTTTGTGTTTTCCCCTACGAACAAATGCATATATTATTTTGTTTTTCATTTTTTGTTTTTTCAATAAGTACGAACGGATGATAGAAATAAGAGAACTCTTTTGTTGTTGTTGTTGTTATTACTCTCATCGTATATGTTGTTATTTAGACCTTGGATAAAAAAGAACAAGTAGTGAAGAAACTGAAAGCAAAAACATCATGTATTCATGCCCCGAAGAACGATCAAAAAACCTTGTATGCATACAATGCCATTAAAACGAGACAAGGCTTTAAGAGAGGAAAAAGAAGAAAAAATAATAATAATAATAAGTTTACTTGTTTTATTTTATTTTATTTTCTTTTCTTAATAGAAATATTCGTCCTTAAATGCATAAATAATGATTCTTATACAACAACAAAAAAATTATTTCAAATAAAAATTCAAAAATGAATAGTAATTATGAATCATATTTTATTTTTATTATTTATATAAATATAAAAATTAAAATGATTCTTATAAAAAAGTTATTTTACAAAAAAAACTAATTGAGACAACCTTTTCATGTATACAAGGTTTTTGTTGTCAAAAGACCTTGAATAAAAGTTTTTCTTTTTTAAATTTTATATAAAAAAGATTAATAATCTTATGATAAATGTATTATATCAATTTAATCAAATAATTAAATACTACAATATGCAAATATATTTATGGTTATTTTATTTTTGAAAGAATTTTATTTTTTTCTTAAAACTTTCTATAAAAAATTGATTAGAATCAAAAAAAAAGAAAAAGCTTATACGTCAATAAAAGATTGACTCAAAAGTTAAATTTTGAATCATATACAAATATTTTTTGTATGTAGATAAAACTTCTTGTATACTTCAAATATAAAACAATGAATTCAAATGAAATTCTTGAACGAACAATTGGTATAGTACTTGGTACAGCAATTGGTGATGCAAAAGGTATTGCATATGAAACATTAACACGACAACAAATAATTGATTTACAAAATAAAAATGAAAAAACTTTATATACTCGTGTAACGAATCATCCATATATACCAAATGATTGGCAAATAGGACGATGGACAGATGATACACAATTAACATTAGCAATGATGAGAGCAATAACAAAACATCTTCAATCAAATGAAAATCTTATGTTAATCATAGCTAATGAACATATAATCGAATGGAAAGAATCTGTTGCTGGTTGGGGTGGAACAAAAAATGCAATTGAAAGGTTATTTAATGGTACTCATACTTATCTTGATAGTGGTAATGAAGCAACTGGAAATGGTGTTTTAATGAAATTAGCACCACTTGCTTTTTACTATAGTTTATGTGACAATGCTGATGATCATGAAATTGAAACAATTTGTCGTATGACACATAGAAGTTCAGTTGCATTATCTACAGCATGTATATATGTTCATATGTGTATTTATTTATTTAAAAAGAAAAATATAATTTCAAATGATTTTCTTGAATATATTTATCAATTATGTCTTAAATATGAAAAAAATTATGAATTAAATGATGATAAATTTCTTGTAAGTTTACGTGTTAAACGTTATATAGAAATAAATTTATTATCTCAAATTGATGAAACATCAATTATTGATATTAGTAATGGTGGTACTTTTTATTGTGTTGATAGTTTAACAATGATAATTGGTCTTATTGCATGTTTACCAACATGTGAACCTGATTTTAATACATTAATACGTGCTAGTGAAATAGGTGGTGATACAGATAGTAATGCGGCAATGATTGGAGCAATTATTGGTGGAATGAAAGGTATAACAAGTCTTGAACAAGAACATATTAATCAAGTTTATCGAAGTGATTATATTCGAAAGATTGGAGAAGAATTTGGTCTTGCAATTATTCAATATATACAAAATAGAAATGAAAAAATACAAGAATTAAAACATGACTGACATCTGACTTCTATGAATAGATGTCGATCTCATAAAAGTATTTTCTTTTTTTATTATATTATTTGAAGTTTGTTTTGACGAATAAAAAAACAGAAATTGGTTTTGGTTTGATTTGGGAAAAGAAAAGAAAAACTTATTTCGATTCCTTGAATGCTGAAGGCTATAACATAGTTTATTCATTAGTTATTGATTAATATATTATAGTCATATGAAGGTTGAAGAAATCCAGACAGATAAATAGACAGACAGACAAGGATAAACGAATGAAACAAACAAATCTTTACAACCTTCTTGTCTTCTGATGTGCCGTTTGAGAGCGATAGATTTTTTTCTTTGTTATGTCCTTCGATTATATATATTTCTTAGATAAATATTATTAAGATTCTTTTATTAATGAAAATTTTATTTCCACCATTTGGTTGATTAGCAATTATTTCTAACTCTATTTATTTAGCCTTCGTATAATAATGAATTTCAAAAAAAAAAAAAGAAAAAAGAAATCAAATGAACTGAAATTCTACTATTATTATACTTGGAAGGTTTTTGTTTTATACAGCACAATTGTGAAGTATATTCTCCTTTAGTATACAGAGCATCGCAAAAATCATAGTCACATTTGAAATGTATGAAAGTTCATTACTGATCTAGGCTAATTCCGTAGTGTTTTTTTTATTTGAATGACAAGAGTTGTAAGTTTTTATTCTTAATGACGAAATTCATAAATATTCTTGAAAGATTAGCATTTTTGACCTTGGCATGTATCACTACTGCTTTATTAGCATTCGTTCGACATTTTTCGAAAACATCAATTAATTGTTATTTTTCCGAGAGCAAATTGTTCCTATAACAACAAGAACTTCAATAATCGACAAATGAAGGTACAAGACTATTTCATGATTCTAACTGTTATTATATTTGATATTGTTACATTTCCCTTCCATAAGAACATATTAAAATGACTGGTGATGAAGTAGAAGTGATATATATATTAATGATTTCAACTCCATAATAACGATATACATTGAGGGAAATATAGACAAAACACCTCTCATATTCATATTTGATACTAAAAATCGCTACATTGTTTTTTATTCAAACCAAAAATGCAAGTCCTTCAAAGGCATTTCGTAATAAATCCTTAATGAAATTTTCTAAAAATCTATTTTCTTTAGATGTCGACTGATTATTTTTGTAAAACTTGTAGTATTGCCTGTAATGGTAAAGCACCTTATGAACAACATTTAAACAGTGCCAAACATATAAAAAAAGCTAAATTAAATGAATCCCAAAATTCTTCTGAACAATCAATTATATCAACAAATACGAGTCCATCAACTCCAACAATAAATACCAGTCCATCAATTCCAACAATAAATACACGTCCATCATTCACAACAACAAAGGATAATATTTCTGAAGATTTATCTTTTGCATCAACATCATTTATAATAAGTCGTGAAACAATGCGTATTTTACTTGAATGGAATCATCCACGTGGTTATAAACCATATTGTGATATATGTCAATTATTATTACATGGTGAAGATAATGTCGATATACATTTTCAATCAAATAATAATATACATAATCAAAAATTATTTATATGGAAACAAATTTCTGAAAATAATGCAAAATATTCATGTAAAGTATGTTCAGAAATATTTTCAAATGATTATTTAATGAATGAACATTTTACCTCGGATTATCATGCAAATTTAGTTCAACAAAAAATTAATTTAGAAAAATTTACTAAAATTTATGAAGCATATAATAAACTTAAACAAGTTCGAAAACAAAGAAAAAGTATTTTCGAAAAATTCATTTAAACAAAAAAAAACAAAATTAATCAAATTTTGTTTTTTTTTTAGGTTTAGAAATAGATCATGTTATTAATGATAATTTAGAAAATCAATTTGAACAATTAAAAATTATTGATGGTACAAAACCGATATCACGATCATCAGCAAATCCTCCTATCGTTATGTCTAAGCTTCTAGATGTAATGAAGCAAGTAGCTGAGAAGAATGATGACGATGATTAAAGATAATTTTACTCATGAATTAAAATAATTATCCGTATTGATATAAAAATATGTTCTGTGATTGTTCTTTTTTATTTTGAAATAACATAATAATGAGTTCATTAAAAATATTTTTATTTTATAGAAAAATAATCCAGAGTATGCACTAAAAAAAACTTTTTTGTAAAAAAAAAAGAAGAAGAATGAGAACCAAGCGGGGAAAAACTGATTCTATGGCATTGGAATCAACTGTTTTTCCTTCGATAGTTCCTTGATAACATCTCAAATCACTCTTTGTTTTCGTTTGAGTGATAAAGAAGTAAAGTTCTCGATTAGGGCGATGAGAACCTTCATCCTTCTAAAATGTTCGACTTTCTAAGAAAAATTCTTAATATTTTCTGACGATATTGACAACTTCGTGGTACCTTTGAACAGAAACCGGATTTTGAAACACCATTGGTCTTTCTCTATAAAAAAGTGAAATAAAAATAAGCAAACAATGTTATCATAAGGTGAATAAACGTGGGACAGGCTCGGAACAAGGACGGCTTGATGGCAGGTTGTCTGTTGAGGGAGGAGTCGGATCACTGTGGGTTTCGTTCTTCTCCCCTCCCTCAGTCATTACTTCTAGCAGTCTGAAGATAAAAGCTATTTTTGCCGAACTTTTAGTCCTCGCTCCTAAAAGATACCGACAACCCTATACAGAAGATCGTTCTACCTAAGTCATAATAGTCAATGTTAAGGTTGATAAGTTATCGTTACGTTACCAATTATCCAGTAATGCAGAATTTGTGAATTTATCAAGGAAAGGTTATTTTTCGAAATAAATGATTTAATCAAACTTTATAAAAAGATGGTGATTTTCCTCCAATAGCTATTTCCTAATGAAAGAATCAAATCTATGGATTTTCCGCTACTCTTGATTCGTTAAGTGGTAACGTAACGGTAACTTTCCTCCTCTATTTCAATGACCAGAATAATTTTAGAATTATGTAACCAGTTGTTTCCCCTCTTGACGAGAGGCGAATCTTCCGCGTGGGTAGTTTGTACACGAAATAATAAAATCTAATTTTTACTTCGATAAATAATTAAGAAGGTAAAAGATAAAAAACATAAACAATTTTTATTTTATTTTCAAAATTCAAAACTGAAATATATAGATATATAAATAAAGCACAAGAGGAGCGATGTATTTTTGATTATCGTATTGATAAATACAATGTTACAAGTATTCAGATGCCTTATCAAGACCTTTTAATCTAATGATCGTAAATGTAAACGCACTCGATTTGATAACTATGATAAACATTGTGATAAAACAGTATCAGTTGTCTCTTATGTATTATTTACACGATTGACGAAATTTTCATGAAATCTTCTTAGTAATATTTTGATTGAAAAGGATTACAATTCATTGTTTGAATACCATGACATTTAACAATGATTGTCAGTAAGTTTTTTCATCGGTTTGACGATTTCGAATGTACGAATAACCGTTTAATATCGTTACAGACCTACCTTTTGCAGTAGAAGTGAACTCGACTAAAGTACACGTGTTCGAGCATTATTCAGAATAGGTTATTCTAATATCGAGTACTTGTGTTCTTTGATTTGAAACATTATTATTCTCCAAACAAGCATTGCTTAATGAGATTAAAGTATTGAAAGGATTATATGTCTTCTAATTACAATTCATAATTTCATGGATAAGATAATCACAAGACTGCTAACAATCTATCTCGACATTGTTCTTGTTAAGATTAATTTAAACCATCCAGGATGCTTTTTTCTGTTCCTTTCTTTTGTAATTATCTTTTTAAATGAAAACTAGATTTCATGCATCAATTGCCCATGCATAAGTTAGTCGTTCGCATCTTTCGTATCCCTAATGTGTATTGGTAAAAGAATGATTATTGAAATAAAACTATATCAGCATTATACGACTTGTGATGTATTTTTAAACATTTCCTTACAATCAAATGCTTTTATGTTAAAAGAAATTAGTACTATCAAAATTAATCATTAGCATAAGTTCTTGATAAGTACATAAACATTATCGTAATGGAAATTTTCATATTCAATATTTTTAAATTTGTGTATTAAACTAATTGTCAAGTTTTTCTTTTTCTGTGAAAAAACTTTCCTACAATAATAATTGTTAAATTTTTGCGATCATTATGATCATAACAAGAAAATTTGTTTTGACTTAAAATTGACACAACATAGTTGTCTGGATATAATGGGATAATGATAGAAGGCATTCATTTGAAATAGATATATAGAGCAAATGTAAGCAAAACCACAACATCCATTATGTTGATGAATAATTTGCCTCAATTAAGAATAATTTTAGTTTAGATGCACGCGATTAAGTTTTGCATGTTTTATTGCAATTATTTTTTTTTCCCGTTCATATTCTCATGATTGTTAATTAAAATTAGATATTGAAGATTATTTGTGTCATCTGAAAAATAAAAGATCAAATTTCTAGAATTTTAATATCGATGATCTAAACTGAGATAATAAAATCTTCTTATGATTATCTTTATGCCAAGATCAATTACTTCATATAAATTATTTTTTGTTCGTTAAAACGATAAAAGAATATCAGTTCACAATATAATTTTTGAATAAACAATCACAGATTAATTTATCTGATTAGAAAAAAAAAATTGCATAACTTCGTACATGTTTTTGTTTCTATGAGTTTAAATTCAAATATTTATTTTAATTAAAGGAATTTTTTTTTTTTACTTAAAAATTATAAATAGTCAATATAATGAGGAGTTTTTATTATGAACTAATATTTATTAATTTTTTTCATTTAAGCAATAATAGTTAATTCTGATTCTTCTTTTTCATTTGTTATTTCTACATGAATTGAACGACGTAAACGAAATATATTCCATAAAATAAACATTATTCCAATTGGTAAAATAAATATCAATAAAAACATTTGAATTAATACACGTATAGGTGAATTATTTAAATTAAATGCTCGATAAACATATCCAATTCGATCATTACTAAATTTTGATTTAAAAATAAATACTATAAGAGTAAATATTCCATAAATAATAGCAAAAATTATACTTGGTATACAATCAATCATATAAATAGGTAAACGTGTAAAAAGAAATATGTCAATAAATAATAAAAACCATAAAATTCCATGATCAAGAAACATTTTTGGATAATATAATTGTATTGATGAATTATGAAGAATTAACCAATAAACAAGACTAACAATAAGACCAGATCCTAATGATATTAAAATTAAAATTATATGAATATATTGTAAAGAATGACGTGGAACAATATTATCTCCACGATAAAAATTTACACGACATGCTATTAAAAATTGAAATACAACGGCAAGAAAAGTTATTAGTAATGTTAAATGTGTATAATAAATTGCCCATTCATGTACAGGACGTGTATTAACTATACCATGAACAAGATCAAATATTGTTAGAACAAATAATACAGTTCGATATAGAAGAAAAATATTTGGATATTTATTAATAAAATCAAATGATGATGAACAAAAAGCTAATTTCCAATCTAAATAAATTTTGAAAAATAATTTAAAAATAAAATAATTAAAAAATAAAAATTCTATATTTACATTTTTCATCAAACCATTTATGTTTTAAATAAATTAAACTAAAACTTTGTTGTAATGCTTTAAAATAACTTTTATTTCTACGTTGATCTTGTTCAATATTAAAAGCATTATTTCCATCCACTATAGATAATGTTTGAGAGGCATCTCCTTTCATCATAATGATGAATCAAAAAATAAAAAATGAAAAAGAAAGCAAACTTACTACTAATCAGTAAATACGGAAAAAAAATGAGAGGAAGAGCAAGCATGTCTGCTGACTCTTCTTATTCTTCTTTAATATGCGCACAATATACATTTGCGTGACTGATGCGGCTGGGTGTCTAAAAAAGAAGCAAAAAAAAAAGAGCTCACATCATGCACACGGGAAGCTTTCAAGCAAATAATTCGAGTTTTTACATTGAATTATCAAAAGCTTATTATATCATATAGAATTGCAAAATTAAAAAATTAAAAAAAATAGTTCTCTTACAGATTCATTTTCATCCAATTGAAATTTTGGAAAATTTTTTTGTTGTTCAATAGTAAATAGAATCTAACATTAAAGAATTCTATGGTTTTACTTAAAGCTTTTATTACTACGCGAATTATTTTCGTCTTTTTCTTTTCTCTCATCAAAATAATGAAATTCTACAAAATAGAGTTAATTCAGTGTTTGAGATGATAGTGATATTTTCCGTGCATAATTAATTTTGTGACAAAATACTATTCTCAAGGTTCCTTTTTTTTTCTTTTTTTATTTCATATTATTATGTTTACAGCACTTAATATAGGAATTACGAATCATTTGATTGGTTAAGTTTATTAATGTAATAATTCATCGAAATACTACATTAGACTGAACCTAACCAATGATATAATTATATTCTGATCAATGATAGCAAAATCTATCTTTATGAATTTATGGTTAGATGCTATTGTGATGAGTTTCAATGATGTGAGCAAAAACTAATGACCTTTTTTTTTGCCTTCTCATTCCATTTGTTGTTATCAGAGGCATAATTTAGCAAGGAGACATGAAAGCCTAGAGTAGTTGAGTCCATGAAAAGAAAGCATTGCACAGTGGCTATTTTTATACAACATGTGGATATGGCTTATTTTCTTTCAAAAAATGCATTTCTTTTATAGAAATATTAATTTACAGTATTCAAAAACAAGTTTGATGAGAAGATGGAAAATTCATGAAGGAATCCACATCTTAAACTTTTATTTTAAAAATTAACATATGATACCTCATTCAATATAGTTTTTTTCGTGCTCATTCCAAATATGTACTTATTATTCTCTTAAAATATTTCTAAGATAAAAGAATGTGAAAAATTTATATCTCGTTTCAAGGGCCCTTATACATTTTTATGCTAACTGAGAACATGTGAGAGGCAGAGAGAAAAATATT